GAACAAAACCTTGAAACGCTGCAACCGATGGTTCGGTCTTCAAATTTCGCACATAATAGTTGCCGGGAAAAATGACCCGAGCGGGGATTCGCGTTCAGGGCTGAGTGGCCGCCGCCACAAAACGGTATTTTAATGTTTTAATGTCTCACCGCAACTAAGGAGAGCTATTTTTTTTCAAGACACACCTCTTACAGGTTGTTAAAGTAATTGGTAAAGCAACGACTTGCTTTTGACAACCGCTGTTGTCGATGAGATGCCGCGGCTCAAGACTTAGCCGGCTAACAGAAACGGGGAAACTATACTTACGAAATGCCGGTGCATAAATTAACCTACTGTAAGCAGCTTCGTCACACATGGTATAGGTTTATGTTCTCATATAAAGGCGTACTTTAAATTCCTTCCTGGCAATATTAAGAATCGGTAAAATATACGCTTTATGGCAACTGGCCATGCAGAGTTTTTTAGTAGGTTTTTGTGTGATTATTGTGTGATTTGATTAATTCCGTAGTTAATTTTATATTTGCCCCCCAGGTCATTTCTGTACCTCTATAGCCTCCCCAGTATTAAAATGGTATAGTTACCAGTGGGATAGTTAAACTTTCTTGTGATGTAGAGCTAAAAGAGAAGAATCGCCCAGTTGGGTTTAAAAGCACCGCTTTATCCACGTTTTATATCGTTAACACAGAATAATAAGTCTAAAGTAAACAAAAGTACTACATCAGACTTGATAAATCATAATTTCATACCGATAAAACCATAGAACATAAAAATGTAAAACTACCCAGGCGAAGTGTCGATGCGATACTAAATCGGGCTTTAGCATTTTATTTTTCAGTACTGGACGATAACACAACATGCGAGAAGGATGTCAAAAAAACACTGCACAAAAAAATTATTCTTATTTACAGTATATACAAGGGTTTACCTACGATCAGCAAGGTCAGGATTTACAGACTAGAGTTTTTTTGTTTACCTCTTGGCTCTATCACTTAGAACACAGACACACACATAGTAATGCCATTTAGAATTAGGTGATGTGGGATTCAATAGAATCCCACAGTGATCAGTGGTCATTGTTAACACCACAGCACACAGTGCACAACAACGAAATGTGTCCTCTGCCTTTAACCCATATGTGACATCATGACATAGCAGGGGGCAGCTAATTCAGTGCCCGGGGAGCAGTACCCTACTCGGGGTACCTCAGAGGTGCCTTGCTGGTCGAGGATTCGAACCAGCAATCTTTCAATTGCAAGTGTACATCCCTAACCATTAAGCCACCACTGCCCACGACACCACTGCTCCGCCTACTGGGGGGCATTTTGAGTGACAAATTTTGCCCAATGAAAACGCCGCAGTCAAAACAAGATATTCAAAGCATACCTTACACTCCCCGCGTCTCCAAATAAAGTATCACGATTAAATTTTCCCATGATAAATTTCGCCGGCCTGCTACCGAACGGTTACGGATAGAATTTGCAGAACGGGGATAATTGTGTTCAAAAATTAGTAGAAACTTTATTATGGAATATTCAGAAAATCATCTCACTCCCTACAGTTTAAAAATTACTCACCTGTGCAAAGATCCACTGAATATTTGTGCTTAAAAGATCAGCAGAACATCCATGTATAAAAGACGGTGGCTGCAGGCTCTGTATCACTATACAGTGCTTCTTCAATTTTGGTGCGATTTATCTGATTTGATTTGGTCCAGATCTTCAACCTTGCAACATGTCTGCAAAGGGTGAAAATGATCTGCCAAATGCTTTCAGTTATTGCACTAATGGGATCAAATATCTGCTGCAGTTTTGGGGTGATCTTTTACTAAATTTGCTGACTTCCAGTTTGCTACCCCATGTGCCTGTGAAGTTTGAAAAAGATCCATACAATACTTTTAGAGTTACCGTGTTCACATGAGCAATGGTGCTTACGCACTGGCATACATGAAGCTGTACCTCAGCTGTACCATGAAGAGAGACTAGTTACTGCACTGTACCAGTTTGGTTTGGTTTTCCACTGCAGAAGGGTCAGCTCAGTAAAGGCACTACCGGGTTGGAGAGTGACAGTGCCGTAAAACAGACGCTTTTTTATTGTTCACACGGTGTTCATCATGATTTATTATGTGCAATTATGATTATATATATTTTTACAGTGTACTAATGCAAGCGAATGCTAATTCTGCTAGTGTTTGATAAATTTGCATTAAAAATCCATTCCATTCAGCTGTTTTATAGTACTTTAAGTAGGAAGTTTTGAAGTTTTCAGGTTCTGAGTTTTTGAGAATGCATCAATATATCACAATGTGCTAATAATGAATAATATATATGCTTTTTCCTTCAGATAATCCATGTGCAGAACACTGGTACCTCCATGGATTTTGACCAATCAGATGGTGGTCACACAAGCAGCTTGGTTTGCTTACGCTTTTGTCAGGGTGCTTACAGCTCGGGTTCGGCTCGCACTTTGCAGTGGAAAACCGCTAGTTTGCGGTACAGCTCAGGTACGGCTCCGTTCTTGCTGGCAGTGGAAAAGTGGCACGCGGCACTGCTGCTTCACTTTTGGGGCAATTTGTTTAAAAATTAAACCAAACGTAGATCTTCATCCATATCATTTTTTTGTGTGCAGCACCGCGCAATGAGGTCTGGGCGTCCCTGCTTAGACTGCCGCTCCCGCGACCTCATCCCAGATAAGCAGTGCAAAATGAATGAATGAATATGTGGCACTGCTTCAATTTTGGGTTGATCGGTCTCAACACGTAACCAGTTTTAGCTCCTCAACTGTAAAATGTCTGTGGGAAGTTTGAGAAAGATCCGTTAAAAGGTTCTTGAGTTGTTGTGCAGATCAATGTGTCTGAGGAGTAGGTGGGCCGATGCTGAAACTACAGCAAAATCACTAATACAGTAACGCTATGTGTGCTGTACAAACATAAATCATTAATGCGATGCTGCCTTAAATTTAAAACAATTGTGTGCCGGGGGGGGGGGCTTGCATTAAATGCGGCTGTGTTTGATTAGGGACTGCGAGTCGAGGAATAAACAGGATACACAAAAATTAATCCGTACAGTTCCTGTAGTTCGAAAAAGATTTATTCAATCCTAGTCTTGAGATTGAGGAAAAATTGAGATTTGCCCAACCAGTAGAGAGAGTCTGTCACAGAGTATTCAACTGGTTGGTTGAAACAAAACATTGGTCTGGATTTGTACTTTCTGGACCTGAACTTTCCACCCCTGCGTGACACACATTTTGCATTCATTGTGTCTTGTCACAAGTGCCTTGTTACCGTTTCAAAAATACAAAAAACACGTTTAAAGAATACAAATTGGGCCCACGAAGCCAGTTTTTAATAAAAATGTCCTCCGTCTGTCAGAGTAAATGCATGCATTTGCTGATATGGATGATAAAATGTGTTCAGGTCCGGAAACATACTTCAGCTACAAATGTGCAAAAGGCCAACATTAACGGAAGAGCGTTGTTGGTATTTTAATTATAAAAGTTAAGCATTTATAAAACTTGTAAGGCAAAATTCCAGTGTGCATATATCTTTCATTCTGCACTGGAATATTTAAAAGAAATGTGACGGTTTTGTGACTGTGTGTGTCAGTTTGTGTATGTACACATGGCGTCCAGGCAGCAGAGCGCAGCTTTGTAGCGGGTACACAGGAACGCCTGGCTCGCTGTCGCTATGGCGATGAGGCTGCAAGCACACGCCAGTGCACCTCAGTCATCCCAATCCCCTCCCTGTCAGTGTCTCACTGCCGCTCAGCCGGGGACTAATTATCACTGGCAGTAACTCCTGTTTGAAATGCATGCCTGCCCCCCCCCCCCCCCCTGCTGTACCCGGCCAGTCAGTCTTCTGCTCCTAGCTTTGAACATGTATGTAAACACATGGTTTTCATGCGACGCTGTTTGTTTTAGCACTGTTCCCTGTGGCATAATCGGGATCAGCTTGTAAATATTACGAAATGGTCTTTCGTTTCTTTCGTTGGGTGACATTGCGCCAGGAGTAGTTGCAGATGTGAAGCAAACGGATTACTTTCAAATGTTTATCGTTTTAGGTAGCTTGATAGTTGCAAGAGTGATTCAAGTTCCTTGAATAGGAGGCCGACAGAAGATCATCTGGAATTTGAAATCCGAATGTTTTAAGGCTGCATGGTATAACTGAGCAGGAATTTTGCCTGCATCAGACACAGTGTACTATTTAACATTGTGCTGTTGGCACTGGTACCGTATTAATGTATTTTTTATTTTAGGTTTTGTGCCATTTCCAGCTCAGTTTGGATATTAGAGGTCTGTATGGGGTGCTGATTTAGATCATAGTACATCTATGGTAATCTGAGCGTAATAAATGCGTATATGTATGTATTTATTGCACCCAGTTTCCCCACTCTGTTAATACGCTGCTGCGAGGATTGCGATGGCTTCATCTAATATTTTTAATCAGGCCCCCAAGCTTAGTTCGCTGCCACTCTTAATTTTGAAAGTTTTAACGTATATTAATATTTGCCACGAAACATAGCGACTTCAGCGTCCCCTGTAGTACGCAGCGCAGTTGAATGTTACTGGATTCATCCTTCTCTAAAACGAGCTCGTGTCAATTTGCCGGAATTCAGAAATTCTGCATGGTGGGCTTTTACGTGGGGACGGTTCCCCGATAATAAAATCTATCAAGGGAATGAATTTAATCCTGCTGCCACCCGCCTACCCCCCCCCCCCCCCCACTCCCCCCTGCTTGCTTTCGTCTCCCCCAGCACCCGCTATTCCCTTGGCCAAGCCTCCCTCCCCCATATCTGCCCTGTTCCTTTATAATCCGCTTTGATTTCACCATTTTCTTTGCTCTCAGCTGTGACACATTATTTATAAAATAGCACAATCACATGCCGTGTGTTTTCCTGGGAAATCTTTGAAAATGGAACCCCCCCCCCCCTTTTTTTTTTTTGATGTTCTGACGCCTTTGTTTTGTTTTTGGATCCCCAACCCATGACACTACTCTTTCTCCGCAGGCACCTCTCCAGCCACCCCCGGGGTCCTCGGCCTCGGCGGCCATGGCGGCGGCAGCCACTGCGTCCGGGGCCCCCCAGTCTCTGAAGCTCACTTATCCAGAGACCCTGGACCGCATCAAGGAGGAGTTCCAGTTCCTGCAGACGCAGTACCAAAGGTAGGGAGGTCCGCTGGCCAGCTGACCCCCCCGGCTGCCGCAGTACAGGACACCTCAGCCTGATAGGCTGCTCTGCACCTGAATTTATTCTATTCAATCGAAAGTCATTTGTCTTAACAACATGGAGTATTAATTACACCATGTATAAACAGGAATTGTATTAATATTTAATACTGTATTAATATGAATATTCAGTAGAACCCTCCAGGTAATGGAATAACTAAAAAATCATGTGTATGCGTGTCTGTGTAACCAACTTAGGAGAGAGACAATTATCTAGCACGTGTGCATGTGTATCTATACAGAACTGAGAATTTAAATATGCTTAGTCATTTCATTTCCAATTTAAATTCCAGTGAATCGTTTTATTTCTCTTGTACATGCTGGCTTCACTGCCCAGTTGCAGTGAATAACTTTCCTATGGTATCTGCCACTCTTCAACTAGCCTGTGGTTTAGCTATGCTGTGTTAACATTTAATTAAATGTCAGATTAACTAATATTCATTATTGTAAGACGAGCACATTTTGTGGGGCCACATTCTGCAGGTTGACCGTTAAGAATGTCGTTCATCACTGGAATCCGTGAAGGGACGTGTCTGTTCTCTCTGTTTTTGCGCGGACGTGCTTCCTCCGGCTCCTTAAGCTCTCGGGACTCTGATGCCGCCGTGCTTTGACTCTTTGGCTTGGTGGACGTGTGGCTGGTCGTTGCCTGTGGCGTCCCAGGAATGCGGGACCCGGCCCAGAGCCGGCTGTGGCAGAGCGGTGGCTGCGGGCGGCTAAGTGCTGCCCTGCCCTGGCGTGGCGTGGTGGCGAAAGCCCCAGCTGCCGTGGTCGATCACCAGGAGCTCTGTAAACCAGGGTGGAAGTGGCGAACCAGTGAGCAGACCAGGGATGACTGGGATAATCAGGCTCTTCAGTTTGACTAACTGGACAGTTACTGATTTGCTGACGTTGTGGTGTTCCACTACTTTAGGGAGGTGTGATGTTTACGTAGCTGTCACGCTCTGTGTGGGAGGTTTTCCTGTTTGGCGAAAGCATTCACTGTTCTTTGCTTATATGTATCTGATTGATGTGCCATCTGACGAATTGGAATGCAGGAATCCAGAGCTGGTTCCTCCCCCTCCCTGGGCATCTTCACGCAGCCCTGGCTCTCATTCCGCACGGCAGATTCAGCAAAATCCGCCCCCACACAACCTACGATTGATTGTTACCACAGGCAAACAGGAATCTGCTTGGGCCTGTCGTTACCACACACCCCCCTCCTGCTCTCGTCGGACATCGGTGCATTGTGCCATGAACTGCCCTTCATCCCCTTGATGGCCACTAGGGTGGGTTGTGGTGGGGGGGAGGAAGCTGACTGCTATTTTTGGCAAAGCCAAAACCACTTTGCCGACAGCGACGTTGCACTCGGTGTTTGCCTGGGAATCCTTGCTGTGATCTCGCAGATTTTTATATGGCTCGCCTCTGATTGCCGCCCTCATCGCGGGACGCCATAACCCGGACACAAACATCCCCCTCCGTGATTGTAATGGGCTAGAATTAATCGGGTCCCTCCGGTCCGTAAGAGCAAGCTCCTCTGCTGCTCTGTCGCCACACCCCTGCGGCCCGCCACCGTCTGATCTTCGCCACGCGTCGCTCCAGGTGTTGTCTCCTTGCATAACAGCAGGACGGGCCGGGGGGGGGGTCACCTAATTGGGCTCCCCGGCACACACGTCGTGCTGGGATGCCTGATCCACACAGCCGCGCTGCCAGACCCGCGCAATCAGAAGCGCAGCTCTTTTAAAGGCAGTATTGATCGTTGCCGACCCAACGCAAACCCCTGAAGGGTTAGGGGGCGGGACAGAGATGGAGCTGGTGAATAAGGCTTTGATATGAGCGCTGTGTGTGCGAGAGCGGGAGGGAGACAGCCGGTAAACTCGCCTGATGGGGTAAAGCTGCCGCATGGAAGGGCCACTGCGGCCTGATCTCGGTGACTAATGCAGTCGTTTTATTTATGGCCCTAAAATGCGCGCAGTGTTATTTATATTTTTGTTTCTAAGGAAAAATGGCTGCCTTCGAGGACCCTTTAGTAGGAAAAGCAAAGCCCCTAATGGTAGGATTGCGGTAATCCTGCAGGTTGACCCTCCCCCGTGTGCTCCTCTCTGGCCGGCATGCCGTGTCCCCCCATAGACGCTCGCACGGGGCACGTGCGGCACACAGATGCACGAGATCGTCATGTCACATGTCTCGCGTGCGACCGTGGAGAATGAAATCAAAGCATAAATGCCTGAGCCNCCCCAAGCTTACAGTGATAAATGAGTCAATTTTCAGCGGCTCCACGAGACCGCTGAAGGGGGGCGGATGTGCGCCCGTTACCTGTCGCGGGCGTCTAATGTTGCAGCATTAATCATATTCTAATTTCCTGGGCTCACGCGCTCCCTCTACATAAATCTGCAGCCAGAAAACAAGTCATTGTGGCTGAGAGCAGCTGGAGGGTGGGGTGGAGTTGGCGAGTCATGGAGGACGGAGGGGAGGGCCAAAGGCTTACTAAGAGGACTGCATGCTCCGCTAAGGACCCCCTGCTGTCTGGTAGCCTGTCGTTGACTTGAATGTGGTTGCAGCAGAGGAAAACGCTCCATTTCTCCAAGCAGATCCTGACTCGCCGCAGATGCATCCGAAATGATAGTAGAACGATTGCGAAGTTCTGCATAACCTCAGCAGAAGACTAATAAACCGGCGACAAGATGTGGTTCTCTGTCGCTGGTTAGCACGCATGTGCCATGTGGCCAGTAAAACGACCTGAATGAAATTGTGTGTGTGTGTGAGTGAGCAAATCGGTGTATCGAGTCCTGAGAAGACCCATATAGATTGGTAGCAGTTCCAAGACACATTGACTTATGACATGCCTTCCCCCCGTCCTGTTTTTTTTCCTCCTCTCACAGTTTGAAGTTGGAGTGTGAGAAGTTAGCTACAGAGAAGACTGAGATCCAGAGGCACTACGTGATGGTGAGACACCAGACGGCAGCAGCCGCTCGCTTGTGGCGTCTTAAACTTTACCGGGCTGCAGGTAAAGACTGAAAATGCAGGGGCGCCCCAACCTTTGCGCTTCACGTGCCTCCATGCTAATCAGAAGCAGCATTTAAACTCGGCATGCAAGTCTGCTGAGTTCAGTCTTTTTTGCAATCGAACTTTGACTTTGGCACGAGAGGAGCATTTTAGCAGATTCACTGAGCTGGGATGTAATTCAAGATTAAGTGTCAGGTCGTAAGGAATTTGTGACCAATCGATGCCTTCTCCCTAAATAAGGTGAACCGTTGTGGGAGTGGTCCAGCCTTGAACGGGTATAACGTCTCCACTGTGTTTTTTTAAATGGCCTGAAGTGCAGTGATAATTTTAAACAGAGAATTGCAGAGTTGGCAACACTCTTTGGTAGTGGACCTGAAAATATGAGCCAGATTATAAACACCAAAAAATCCAAGTTGAGTACTGACCAGAGCTTTGAAGATGACTGTCGTGGGCCCGGTATGTTGTTGGCGCTTGATGCATCTTGGCAAAGACTACTTTTCAATTTTTTTTTGGCATCTGACTTTGGAGTTTAGACGTCGCCTAGCAACAGCCAAATCCTGGCACAAGCGTGGCTCCGGCAGCCAGCTGTCAGGAAGAGCTTATTTGTTGAAAAGCTGGCGGCTTGCCGCGCGTGGAAGCGATCCAGCGTCTGCCCGTGCCCTCCTGTTGCCTGTCATTCCCACTCCGTTACTACTTAAACCCTCGCTTACTTGTTAAATCACACTTGGACTGCCGAAGCAGACGTATATTGTTATAAGCCAGCCGCTTGTGGAAGAGCTGCTTTGTGTAGTAAATTAATTTAGCCTAAATTGTTCTCCTTTCCCCCTTTTTCAGTACTATGAGATGTCGTACGGCCTTAACATCGAAATGCACAAGCAGGTGAGTACCTCCCCCCCCCCAGGGACCTGCTCGCCTTTTAACGGATGCCTACAGAACCATCCTGCCCCCCCACTCGGCATTTAAATCTCATTATTTCAGTCTGCGCGCGTGTGCATTACAGCGGGCTGCCTTGCTGTTGGTATTTACCCCTATTCTCCCTTCCAGAGAGCCCATCCATCCTCGTGGGGGGGCCTTTGCCCCTCTGCCGCCTTCCCCATGTCCGCCTTCCTGTCACCTCTCACCGGTCCCCCACCCTCTGCAGTCAGAGCTGAATGTCACTTCTGATCAGGTCACTGCCTTTGAGTGTCTGGCTCCTCAGCCCCCAGCTCATTCAGTTTTGACCCCCACTGCTGCTGGCCTTGTTTTCTTTCTCGTTCTTATCGTGTATCGTTTCCTTAGTCCCACTATTCTGACTATCCACTTTCCCACACTCCTTTTTTGTGTATCTCTCTCTCTCTCTCTTTCTCTTCCCCCCCCCCCATCCTTCCTGCTCTCCCGAGGATGTAATTTGGTAGTTGGTGTTCTCTAACAAGAAATCATTGTGTTTCTCAGGGTAAGATGCTGATGTTTTTTTTGTAGAGTGCTGACAGGGGTGGGAATGGTAGGGGGGGGGGGNGGGTGCAGAGGTGTACAGCGGCAACCCCTGGGCAGAGAGGGGAACTCTGCCCCCCCCCCATTTGTAAACCGAGGGCTGCGACTTACCGTCTGCTGTCTCGTGAGGCCCGATCTCGATCGGGCGCCACCATGTGGCTGAGTCAGGGTGGTGCTGGGGGCACGGTGCCATCGGACCGGCTGTCTGATGCAGCATGGGGTGCTCCGTCAGCCTAATTGGTGCTCTGATGCTGGGGGGATCGCTGGCTCGGCTGGGCGAGGCCGACTCCCATGGTTAGCCCCCCCACTCCCCCCCCCAAGCCGACACCAGATGCTGGCCGTAAATATTTCAGGCCTGCCTGCTCCCCTCGTGCTGAATTTGCATGCAGAGCAGATGCAGGGCGCTGAAATATTTACCGTGCACTGCGCAGGCGGGGCATCCTGTGTTTGTGCGCGCGCTCGGCCGCGAGTGTGGGGGGGGCGGGGGTCAATGTGGACTTGCCCCCCACGTGTGACACGGCCCTCTCTCTTGCAGACGGAGATCGCCAAGCGGCTGAACGTGATCTGCGCCCAGCTCGTCCCATTCCTGTCGCAGGAGGTGAGCACCGGGCCCCCCTCCACAGGAGTGACATGAAAACGAGGCGCACATCTGCTCTGGCATAGGCCCCCTAGTGGTGTGTGTGTGTGTGTGTGTGTGTGTGTGTGTGTGTGTGTGTGTGTGTGCGTGTGCGTGTGCGTGCGTGTAGGGTCAGGGTGTGTGTGTCTGTTCACCATGTTTGAACCTTGTGCCCATAGCAGGCGGTGTCACACTGAAACACCGTGACCATTCACTCTGTGTGTTAGCTCTGGGGAGCATTGTGGGTAATAGCGTGGGGGGCATTGTGGGTAATAGCGTGAGGGGAATTGTGGGTAATAGTATGAGAGGCATTGTGGGTATTAGCGTGAAGGGGATTGTGGGTAATAGTGTGAGCGGCATTGAGGGTGATAGCGTGAGGGGGATTGTGGGTAATAGCGTGAGCGGCATTGTGGGTATTAGCGTGAGGGGGATTGTGGGTGATAGTGTGAGCGGCATTGTGGGTATTAGCGTGAGGGGGATTGTGGGTGATAGCGTGAGGGGAATCATGGGTAGGAGCCATACAGCTAAACTCCTCTCCCATAAAAGCCGTGTCCTACAGGTCCCTTAAAACTTAATTTCTCATTGAGGTCGTCTGTCTCTCTTTTTTTTGTTTTTCTTCTCCAGCACCAGCAGCAGGTGATACAGGCCATGGAACGCGCCAAGCAGGTGACTATGGGGGACTTGAATGCTTCCATAGGGG